TCCCGAAGGTTTGTTTTGTCTGTGATTTAATTAAGTTGGGGGACTGCATGGGACTTTAAACAAAATGAACATTGACTTGTGTTGGTTGGTTATTTGTAGATGGTTTAAATTAAAAGGTAGGTATCCTGTAGATTTTTGAAAATAACAATTCCTTGCTCATTTGTTTGACAATCGTAGTTTAGAAGCATTTTCTTAGAAAGCAAAAATTAGTCACCATCTAAACCAAATAAAACCCTAGCAATCACTAGTAAACTAGATTAATAAAACAATGTTACTACACTTTTGTTTCCTAGATCGTTAAATTCAAGATTGGATTATACATTCCTCGTTTACAAGTACAAAATAACAAACAATTTGTTTCGCAATAGACGTAAAAAAATTACGAGCGACCGAATCATAAACACTGAAAAAATTTTAAGCACACTCTGTGATTCACAGGCTTCATTTACCCGCTTTCGGGGTAAGGGTGGCTGCAGATTGGGTATTGGTACGATTTGTGCGAGTCATGCATCATGCGCCAATAGAGAGTGTCAATTATCATAATATTCATGATGCATAGTAAAAAAAATGAATTAAAGACAGATTAAATTACCTACCTCAGTGAACAAATTGCAATAAACCGTAAAGTTAAGGACTGTACAGTTTATTCCACTTTTTTTTTTTTATGCTAGCCAAGGCAGGTATTTGACCGCAATCGCACCTGGTGTTAAGTGAGATGCAGTCTAGGATGGTACATATCTGCCCTGTAAGTGCCTATTCACTCTCGCCTTGAAAACGCCCGGATTATAGTGTTCAGGAAATACAGCAGCAGGCAGCGAATTCGAGATCACCTGGGTGATATCACCTAGGTGAACAAACTAGATTAGTGTCCTCACTGCACCTTGGAACCATTTCACCCAGGTGATATCACCTGGGTGCTTTAGTCGACTAAAGCAGTCAGTCGCCTTTGTTCACCTAGGAATTAATTCACCCAGGTGAATAGAAGCGACTTTTTTCATTTCATTTCATGCAATCAAAGATAGCTTTGCTTTGATCACTAGATACTCGTACATAGCCAGCTCGATGTCAATAGGCATTATTTGTTACAAAAATTTCCTATTGGAAATGACGCGGACTGTAAGTGCGTTGTGACGCAGCTATACATTTTGAGCCCGCTATGGTGAGTTTTATGGAAAATAGATTTTCAGTCTCTTGAATAAAATCTGTTGTGTGCTGTATAAATCTTTATTGTAAAATCTAGAATGAAATACAAAAATCTTTATTGTGAATAGGTGAAAATGAATAATGAAAGCAACAATGTTAGGTCACACAACGCGCGAAAACACATTGCAGACGGTGCACAGTCGTATACCTTGTGTGGCAACTCGCTTTATCAACGTACCCGGAACATGCGTGTTTGTTAATTACCTACGAGAAAATAATATCACTGCACTGTAATTACTTAAAGTATACTCACCTATTCAGAACATCATTATTTAGGTTGAAAGGGATCATTTATTTATTAGCAGATACCATAGAAAATTATGGATATACCGTTAGCTTTTCGATTTTCGACCTATCACCAAATATCTAACAAAATATCTACCAATATTTTATTAGATGTTTGATGTTATGTGTTAGAAAAAACAAAAGAGTGGCGTAAGGCACTTATCTTAAGTAAATTGAGAAGTGTTTCTATCTCTACCCACATATTTGGAATTTACATTTCGGCCACTAAAATTATAGAATGTGACGGTTCACCTGTCATTTTAGAGACTCAAATGACATCTACTGTCATTAGGCCCGGTTTCAGGAGCAGAGCGGATCGGAGCGAAGAAGAGTCGGGCCGTGAATTTTTTCTATAGAATTTGACAGTGGCGGCGACGTGTGGAGCGGAGACGAGAAATGGAAATAATGAATTCTGATTGGTTTATTTAAAACACTTCTCCGCTTTGATAGAAACCGGGCCTTACCCTACCTAGTCAGCACCCTCCCTAACCCCCGTCCCGCTTGACCTTTTTATTTCCAAAGTTGCTAGTTTAAAACAAACCGGTCCGTATAAATCTTTGTTCCTCGCGAAGGTAACTCCGTTCCGGACCATAAAAAAGCCTTGAAGGAGTTGTGACAAATATCGCCTCGCGTCTACGCTGACTTGAGAAATGATCCTTTAGATAAGGACCCGGCCGATTGTTAGACGACCAAACAGTCTTGATCTCGGTGAGCTGGACGTAGTGAAGGATCAAGTTTTTTTTATATTGAAAGGGTTTTCTTTAGATTATAAATTAACCCATCAGATATATGAGTATGTTAATGAGTTAAGACTAGTGTAAAAGACGCCTATTGTATTTGGGATCCTAAAAAATAGAGGAAAACGATGCCTATGTAATAAAAAAAAATGTATAGTCTTATCAGAGGCAATTCAGAATCGCATGAAGAATCAGCCGTCATAAGATTTACTTTTGACGTTTAACACGTTGAGTGCGAAACCAGGTCTATAGACCTTGTGTACGTCTCGCTTACCGTGCGGCTAAGAAAATTATAGTCTTCCTTGTCGTGCGAAAGGCATAACTTCAATTGGGTCCGGTGTAGGAAAGTGATGAATATATATCTATGATGTATTCTTAAAATAGAATCCAATGATGTACCTACCTTAATACCAGGTTTTTAGACCTGGTACCGCACGGAAGTAATAAAATGTCTTCACAATGCGAAACCAGGTCGAAGCACCTTGTACCCTGCGCACCTGGTACCGCACCCCACGCTAGCTTCGTGCAGCCAGTGTTGCCTCGCATTCGTAAGAAACGCACATGTCGACATGGCGTCAAGAGAAACAAACAAAATCAAAACTGCAAATTGATTATAATTTAATTTGCTACACGATTTATTGCTAATTTAAATAATGTTTTTCGTGACAAACATTTGAAGTTGTAACTAAATGTTATTAAATAATATGTTTTCTTTAAATATAGCTTATTTAAGTATTTATGCACGTATGTCTTATTTGTAAAATATTTAGACTAAATTATTAAAACATCTTTGTTTGTTACTTTTTAAAATTTTTATTATAACTTAATTTAAACTATCGATATTTGTATTTCACATCCCTAGAATACCCACCAGACTTCCCTAATTCAGTGCGGCACAGGGTGCATAAGCCTTGTATTTTGAATATAGCTATAATTTTTATACTAAACAAGTTATTCACGAACGGCTTCAGGTGTATGTCAATAAATGCATTATTATTAATATTCAAAGAAAAAATACACAATATCTATTAACATGAAGCCAAAAATAAAATTAATATATCTTAAATATTACAAGGTCTTTAAGCCTTGTGCCGCCACAATGTAAGTTTTAATACCAGGTTTACTGACCTTGTACCGAAGGAATAGAAAGTATTAGAAAGTTACTGCCGCAGCAAAGGTGTTAATGATGACAGTGCAATATTGTAATTCCATTATTTATCAATTTGTCTTGATAACCTATCAGTTTTCTTCAGTTTTAATTTGTGCATAGATTATTTGATTTACCCATCTTTAGTATTAAGTTAATTTAATAAATGAGGTGTTTTTTTACTTTAAAAAAGAACAAATTATGGCTGCTGAAATGTAAAACATGCTTCTGATTTTATTCCGATGTATAGTATAGTATAGTATAGTATAGTTCATCGATGTTGATAACTGACCTTATCTAATATCTGTAGGTACTGAGTCAGTCAGCGATAATAAAGATTGTAGATAATATCCAAATAGTACTGCAAGTTTATATTTCGATCATGACATTTAAGGTGAGATACAGACCAAGAGCTTCCTCGTTGTGGTTATAAAAAAACTGAAATAAGCGAAAATAATTAATTGATTCTATCCATCTATAGTTCTATTCTAGCTCTTAGCTCAGTCAGTATCAGTGCCTGAGGGAACAGCACGGGAGGGGTAATTTTGACGTATTATGACGTGACAGCATACAAATCTGAAGTCTCGCTGACATTTGACGTAACAAAAAATGCTCTCCCTTGTCTAGAGCAGGCAAGCGTTAGAACTATACAGACAAACGCGTTTTGAAGACGAAAAAAAAAGTATAATATTATCTATCTATCGCAAGCAGGTGGTCTCCCACTAGGTGGACCGACGATCTGGTGAAGGTCGCGGGAAGTACCTGGATGCAAGCGGCGCAGGACCGGTCTTTGTGGAAATCCTTGGGGGAGGCCTTTGTCCAGCAGTGGACGTCTTTCGGCTGAAACGAACGAACGATCGCAAGCAGGTTGGCCGTAATAAGGGCAATCTGGTCAGGTGGGGTTTCCTGGATGGCTCAAACATGAAGCGCAGGTGTTTTGTTCCCCAGTCGATGAAGCACATGATGTCTTGCCCGGAGTGCCCGAGCAACTGCACGCAGGAGGATTTAACGAATGCTGCTGACAACACCACTCTTGTAGCGGAGTTTTGGGTTGTGTGTAGGTTTGTTGTCGACACGATAACAAGATCTATCTATCTCTCTACTTTTTCTTCAAACGTGAACGTAGCCCTATGCCTGAGTGAAGCTCTACACAGTTTGGCCGGGGGAATACCCCAAGGATGTCAACTGTGACGTACGATGGCCGACATAGCTTGACCCTCAGTTCCCCGTAAATTGAGCGACAATAGCACAAAGGGTTAACAAAAATGCTAACAGCAAAAAATAGAGAAAAATTGGTTACCTAATTTAAGGTTGATTGATGGGCAATTGTATATTAATGACAATGAACGATGTATTGTTTCATATCTTAGAGTCAACTTAAATAAATTAAAGGCTTATCTTACTGATAGTGTTTGATAACATAAGATTATATTATGTAGTATCTATTATAATATATGTGGTCGGGTTCAATGGCTATCGATAAAAGACAAATTAATATTTTAAATAGTCTATTTTCCTTTTATTATATTTGAACTCGTTTTAGTTCCATAGATTATTTTCTTAAAAGATGTAAGACATGTAATTTAATTAGCTAATAAAAAGTAAGTAATGAATAAAAAAACAAGATATAAAGAAACTTTTTTGTATAAAATGCATGTTTTATTACGAAAATGGAATAAATTCACAAACTAAAATAGGTATCCAGCCCTCTCACAATTTTTTCTATGAAAATTGGATCTCGAATCTTATGAATTTGGACCCAAATTAAGAGCCTTTTCAAATTAGACCTTTTGAGACAGACGTTAAGTTTGTCGTCCGTTTGCAGGAGCGCACACTGAAAATTGTATGATAACTGCCTTGGGATAAAAATGACTAATTTAATTTACCAATAGAGTGTGCGGTCTTGCAAACGCACGACTAACGTCCGTTTCAAAACGCCTAATTTGAAGCGCCCTAAGATCTAAAAAAATCTTTTGTACAGTCGACGGGAGACTACACATTTTTTTGCAAAATAACACCTAATTAGAACTAAGTATGTAACACGCGTATTGTCATCCGTACTTAACTACATAGCTTAACGTATAGGTACCTACATACAATTAAAAATAATTTTACACAAAGTTCAAGCTAGTAATCCGCATAAAATATACTTATACAATAGTCCGGCAAAAAATTTGTTGTACGTAAAAGTAAATAACATACTTTAAATAGACATAATGTTTATTTGCAAATCGATTTTTCTAGGTTGACGGCTCTTATCTTATCAATATGTCTATTATTGACTTCCTTGTACGTTTTAAAACCGATTAACAATGAAAGAACAAAGAATTTAAATAATATGTTGCAATATGTTATCTACAATTTTTTGAAAATTGAATAATTAGTATTTGAATAATAAAAAAGTAATTACTACTATTAGTCTACCTGTACGTACAATACATAATATTGTATTCTTCCAACTTTTAAATTATGTTCCGTATATTAAAGTAAGGTATTTCATCTTTAACAATAGCTATAATGATTTTGATCAAAAAACGTCAAAAATGGTAGTTAGTTATCACTAATTTCATGTCAATGTTTGAAAAAAAAAAAACAGATTTTCACAATGCATATAATTTAATTTTAAGACATTGAAAGTAAAAATAATTAGAGGTTTTCTAAAAAACATTTGTTAATACTTATTTTTCAGCGTACGATTAGGCTGAGTTGGACCATCTTACTTTAACTTTGACAAACGCCAAAAATCTGTCAAATTCCATACAAAAAGCACCGGTTATTGTCATTGTTACCGTTAAAATAAAGAGGTGCAACTCAGCCTTTGAGCTATAATTTAGCAACACAGTACAGAACAATTATACATTTTGAAAGTATTTCAAAATGTATATTTTGGTTATCGTGGCTCTCATAATAATCGAAATAGTAAAAAGAGCGGCTAATTAAGCTGAATTGATGCTAACGTCACTTCACATTAACACAAAGAAGACATTGTTTTTAAAATTGAAATTCCTTATACAAAAATCACTAGCTGAACACATTATTTCATTAACTATAAGTATTAAGTCACATACAAAATGGCACTAGGACGCGGACGTGCAGAATGATGTTCTTGAGTTATCTTGACTTACATTAATGTGTCATTGCCCTATGCTATACCTCGTAGTTTGAGCCATCTGCTAGCAAGATTAGTATCTTTATTTTTATCACCCTTATCCGACTCATTACTTGCATTTCCTTGATTACCATCACCTTCAGGTAATGGATCTGGTACATCAGATGCTGGTGCATCAGTTGTTGGTACATCAGTTGCTGGTACATTAGTTGCTGGTGCATTTGTTGTATCAGTAACTGGATTCGTTGTTGTTTCAGGTGATTTTTCGGTAGTCGGGGCAACTGTACTAGTTTTAAGTTCTTCCACTTGAGCTAGGGCTCTGTTCCGTTGCCCCGCCATCGCCAACGTTGATACGAACAAACAAAAAGAGAGTAATCCAAGGAATACTATCATCTTATTATTTACCATCCATTCTAGGGTTTTACCCGCGTAGTATCTACAATGTAGCCCGAAATTACTTGCCATAATGAATCAACACAAAAACACGTATAATTTAGTCCGTATCCACGACTGTTTTAATGCTATCGCGTCTGATTCAGTACGGTACCTTATCAAACAATTTTGTCGATGGTTTGATTGAAATTGACACGTAGCATCTAAAATATAAAGTTTAGGTTTACCTGTATAGCTGACTGATACATCGATAAGCACTATCGGGAATGTGTTTGTTATTTTTGACAAGGATTATACTGGGCTGTTATCAATATCACATATGTGTTTTGTTTCAAATAGCTACTATGAAGTATATTTCTCATTATGACTAATTTTCCAGCAGTAAGCTAGTGTTCTTAGTATTTCAGATTGATATTCAGATAGACTGAAAGTGATCCGCAGTTTCGTCGGCTCAGGCCTGAAATTTAATATCTGTTTTCCTAAAATGTAAAATTCTCAAAAAGTCTACGTACCTACTCATCATGTTTGCATTCCTACTTTGTCAGCTCTATCGAAAATGTGTGAAGTCTTAGATGGTCTTCTATTCATAATTTTTACATTTCTATACTTTATATAATCTGAAATCGAACATTGTACATAAACTGTCATTCTCGGAGACAGACAATTTTAAATAGTTTACATTTGAGAAACTGACAACATATTTCTTGGGAATTATACAGTGTGAGTCACGTTAAAGTGTACATATGAAAATTGATGAAACTAGACCTATTTTTATCGACAAAAAAGAGGTCAAAAAATTTTTGAGATTTTTTTTTATTTTTTTATAGAATTTTTTTTCTTCCAATTACTTATTGTAAAGAAAACGTAATAACTTTTAAACTAAGAGGTATATCCTAATAAAATAAAACAGTAATAATGCTAAATAACAGGCAATACTAAAATAATACATAAAATACACAAAAAGGCCAACAAATAATAAAAAATTATACTTTTTGAAAAAAATCTGCTTTTAAATTCGTGTTTTTTGGTTATTTGATAAATTTCTCCAAAAAATGCCCGTATAACAGGTGGTTTTTATTACTTTGTATTATTCTCTATCGTATTATCTTTGTAAAACCAAAAATCGCATGTCTCTATCCCTATCACAACATTTGCTATGATCGTTTGAACAAAGGCCTGCCACAACATTATTCTCCGCTACAGGTAGAGACAATTTTAATTTTAACTAAAATGCTTATTTTACTTCGAAATCTTTTGTTTTTATTTGAAATCTAACTTGTCTTTATCAAAATTACAAATTACAAATACAATTCAGTTTCGTTGTTAACGAAGCGTTGAATGGCGCGCCCGGAGAGGCTTAGTTCAAACGATCATTGCAAACGTTGTGATAGGGATAGAGACATGCGATTTTTGGTTTTACGAAGGTAATACGATAGAAAATAATACAAAGTAATAAAAATCACCGGTTATAGGGGCATTTTTTGGAGAAATTTATCAAATAAACAAAAAAACACGAATTTAAAAGCAGATTTTTTTCAATAAGTATCATTTTTTATTATTTGTTGGCCTTTTTTGTGTATTTTATGTATTTTTTTAGTATCGCCTGTTACTTAGCATTATTACTGTTTTTATTTTATTAGGATGTACCGCTTAGTTTAAAAGTTATTACATTTCTTTACAATAAGTAATTGGAAGAAAAAAAGATCTATAATTTTTTTAAAAAAAAATCTCAAAAATTTTTTGACCCCTTTTTTGTCGATAAAAATAGGTCTAGTTTCATCTATTTTCATATGTACACTTTAACGTGACTCACACTGTATAGGTTGCATTATGAATCTTAATGTTAATGATGATTTATTTGCAGAATGTGGTACATTTCATTATTATTATGATTATAACCTTTCTTTCTAATTAAAAATACAGCAAATCAATATTATGGTATGTATGTGGTAACACATATGTTCCTTAAAGGATCAGGTATACCCGTAGGTAGCACAGATGGGTAATTGCTTAAAACCAATAATTGCTTACGTTACCCGGTCTGTGTGTTTAGCCGAAACCTAAAGCTCTCGTCCAACTCGAATGTTTACTCGTATGAAACTTCATATCTACGGGCCTATTTCGAATCGTGTTATCGTTCTGTCGCTTTCTCTCAAGGCGATTTCTCGAGGTGTGTGAAAGAGATTCATTATTTTGATCATTTAAGCCAGTAGACGTCCACTACTGAACACTAGGTGTCCTCAAATGATTGGCCGGTTGGAAGCAGCCTTCCTGCAATTAATGGAAGGCCAGCATCGTGGTATTACTTACAATGAGATGAAAATTGAATAATTTAGATCAAGGTTATGATAGTCAAAATAAAAAAAGAGTAACCCTTGAAGGGCTTTTTACCTGTCTCTCTCCTTATTTGGACCTTATATCTTTTGGACCCTACCGCCCTGGTAGGCTTCGAAACAAACATTTGTTATGCGAGTAGATACTGAGAGGAACGCTGGAATAAACTCACCTTCTACCATACTATGCTGAGTGGAAGTATCTTTCCAGTATCATTGCAGCATGTTCTTTATTGGTTAACTAGCTGTGCCCGCGACTTCGTATGCATGAAAATAGTTTGAATAATATTTCCCGTTTTTGCCTGTATTAGTATTTATGTAGATACAAGTATAACATCTCCACCCACAAGGTGGACCGGCGACATCATAAAGGTAGCAGGAAGGCGCTGGACGCAGGCCGCTACCAACCGGGCAACATGGAAAGCATTGGGGGAGGCCTATGTTCAGCAGTGGACGTCCTATGGCTGAGATGATGATGATGACGAAGTATAATAACATTATAGCGTGATAGTGAATAAATATTTTTCTCTTTCTATTTCTTAACAAGTGAAAGAGACTGATTGATACGTAGTTAATAAGGTTTCTAATACGGATCTGAAGGTTTGTAGTCTTTGATGTCAACAAGTAATCAATTTTGCGACACGCACGTTGTGAAACTTTGACATGTACGAGTAGTTTGATCGTAATGTGAAATCCTGTAGATAGTAAATAATGCTATGTTTGGGTTTGGCTGTATCAATATAATCCTAAGTAATAATTAGCAAACATTAATATTGGGATGATTAACTAAAAAGTTACTCATTTTATATTCATTAGTTATACCTACTTAAGAAAATTGGGTACTAACAACATTAATCTTAGTAATTGTGTTTGGGAATAATTGTTAGTGGAAATTTTGTTAATTATGAGTGATAAAGTTTTGTGCCCGGTCACATTCTACTTTTAGTTTTCTTTCATATTCTCTAACACTACTTACTCCAAGTTTGATTAACGTTCCTTCAATTTTAAATACAAATCTGTAACTTTTGAGCTGTGTCATCGTAAAGAAATGAAAAAGTTGAAAAATATTCCAAACGTCTCATGTTTACGTTAAACCGCTTTATTTCAGACCATCATCGGTGACGCCCTCTAGCGGGAAGCCATCGAATTAGAATATAAATTGAACTCTTTATATAAACATTTATAATTTGCATTTAAGGCGGGTTCCCACTTAGGGCTGTACGATATAGATAAGTATCGTTTTGTTTAGGTAGGGATTGGGTGTTTTCTCATGCATGGTTAAATGATGATAGACGGGATTAATGGGTTTTGGTATGCGGCATTATGTTAATCACGTTCACTTTGCTTTTACAAATGTGATTCTGTTAAAAATAAAACGTTCATATTCAAATTTTTGATTGGTATTTCGAGGCACTTTAACACGTTCCATACATAGCTACAGTAGGTACTTATTAATTTGAAGCTATTAAATAAGTAAAGTAAATAAACAGAACACGATTATAATAAGTATTACTTTTAGAAACTATTTCAAACCAACCCTATTAAACTGGGTAATAAAATTAATAACTGCATAACAGTTCTCACTAAAAAATCTACTACAGGTAAATGTACTCTTAGCGCTCACCGGCTACTCAACAATGTTACACTAATATGCTATAAATATGCATGGACATAAGTAGCTCTTAGCCATTGAACGCTTACCATCACCGCCTTTATCAGACCTCTCATCGTCCAGCAAATCTCCTTCATCACTCGGAAATTCCTTCCTGAAATTGGACCCCCACAGCTCAAGTAAAACTGGTCATCTACCACATACCCAAGAATGGGATACATTATGCGATATTTCAATACAGTATTTATATTTCCCCCGAGACCGCGCGGTGCTAAATCTGAAAGTGGGTGTATTTGGATTGTTTTTAAGATTATGTTTTTTCCCGCGTTTGACGAGGGAACACCCTTGAGAGATATCGACATCGAGAAACATATTTGTGTCTTTCTATACTAATAATAACATTATGACTAATTTACTGCATAAGTATGAGAAGAGCCTTTATACTGACAAAAGTTAACTAGATCTACCAACACAATCACAACACAGTCATGGCACAGGTCATGGCCAATTGTAGACTAGGTATACTCCTGGGCATACCTTAACATTTATGGAATGTAGTCATTTGCTAAGAAAATGTTTTTGGATCATTACCCCTTTTAGATCCAAGCTTCTAACATAATTATTTTACTCAGAGCTTATTAAAATCTAAGCCTGTGATTACGAAACACACTCACTCATACACACACTCTCATTAAATTAGAATATTTAGTTTAGTCTCTAGCTATGCCATATAGCCATATAGCAGCATATAGCCTGTGACAATACACCTGTGTCCATATCACTGGCATCCATCTATGAAGTCTCTTTGCACGGAATAGGCTAGGATTACTGCTGAAAATTCAAATTCAAGTTTTGTACAATAATCAATCCCTGAACCAGTCACCACGTCTCTGAAGAATTATTTCTAATAAACATCCACGATATCACTCATGTAAATATCAGAGCTCAAATTTTTAGCGTGGCAATGAGTGTTAACGAACTGGATAAATAGTTGCAAGAAACGGTTCTGTTACATCGCATCATGTATCTCATTTTATCACACAGTGTTGCTGCTAGTGACATCTCGCTCTTTTGTTGCTCTATTCCACAGGCACTAAATAAAGTAGAATGATCAATGGAGAGCAAATTCACACCCGGAATCTAGTATTATCAACGTCTATTGTTCTATAATTATCATGTATAAATAG